GGGGGGCCTGGAGGCCGAGGGCATCGCCTCGGGAGCGCGGGACCGTGGGTAGAGCAGCCAGGCGTGCCGCGGGGCAGCTGAGGGGTCGTGCCGGAGAGCCCCCCGGTGCGCTCTGTGCCCCGTGCGTGAGAGGAGGGGAGAGGAATCTCTCCTGCGTTTCTGTACCGCTTGTTCTCTCTTATTTTGTGCGTTAAGGACTCTCTGTCTAGGCTGTTCGCCCGCTGCGGGCACGTCCAGTCTGTGGACATCTGTGACAAACCAGGGCTGGGAGAGAAAAAAGAAAAAGTGACGTCAAAATTCTTCAACCGCAAAACTGTAACGGTAAAGCTGGAGGGGGAGGGGGGGAGTACTCATATTTTAGTGGTCAGAATGGGAAAAGATCACAAGTGCTGAGCAGTGCTATTTGGAACATGAGATATGGGAAAATATTTGGGGGCACTGGGTGACATGATTACTTATTAAAGCTTACAATATCTTTTTTTTTTTGCTATCCCACTGCAACTTGTGGCTTAATTTTTGTTTTATTTTATTTGTACTTCAGCTCCTCACTGCGTCACCTATTTTCCCAATGTATCTGACTAGACTAGGTGTCTTTTTCTTTCAGGGATTTCAGGTAGCCTACGTGGTGTTCAGGAAACCAGCAGGTGTCCAGGCAGCCAAGGCCCTGGCACAAGAAGGTCCCTTGCTCATATCAACAGAGAGTCACCCTGTGAAAACCGGCATTAGCAGTAAGTCAGCCCTAGCTGTCTTCCTGCTAGCTAGTGCCAGGGAAGAACTATACTTATTCCTTGCTGAATCCTACCCTGCATATCCAAGATTAATTCTCAACATTTTGTACTGAGCCAGGAGACATCTAGTGTTTCATTGTCCTGCTTTTACTGTTCACAAGGTAGCAATCTTCTTGTACCGGATGTTGTAGTCTGGTCCAGTGAACCTGGGAGAATGGGATCACTTGGTACAATGGAAGGGTAGTTTTTCCCAACGTTATCACATAGGTTCAGAGAAACTGGCTGTGTCTTGCCTTCAAAATGGAAGTCCAACTGAATAACAGACACCTTGGCAGGAACGCAGCCCTGAATGTTGCACCTCTTGGGCTTAAGGCTAGCCTGCTCCTGCTTGAGAAAGTTGCAAGCTCTTCCCATGGCTTCCTGGCTGTGGCCCGGGCCGTGAGTCGGTTGAGCTGTGGCAGTGGGGAGGCTGAACAGAAAGAGGAACAGACTGTGTCCATCTCCACAGCAGCTCTCTCTAGAGCTGCCCAAAGGCATCACACTTGGGCTTGCTTCTAACAGAGGCTACTGCTGACTTTTGCCCTCTCTGTCTCAGAGTGGATCGACAGCTATGCGGCCTCAGTCGTGGATCCAGAGGAGCTGAAGGCTGAGGTGGATGCCTACATGCAAGACTATGACAAAAAGATAGAAGAGGTGAGGCTGGGGAGGGAACCCAGCTAAGCAGTTTGTCTGGGAAGGGGAAAGGAAGAGAGCGGATTTCTCAGTGCCCAGGCTTCAGTGGAAAGGGCAGAGGGAAATGCACCAGCTGTCAAGGTTGTTTTACTCCCAGTTGCTGATGGGCTGTCAGGTCCTGGTTTGGTCCACAACACCTGACCCTTCCACCCAGGGCTTACAATAGATATCCACAAATAAATTGGGTCCTGGCTGGTGTGGAGTGTTGTGATTGAGAGTTGAATGCATGCACCCTTGGTCCCATGCCTTCCTTCAAATGTTGTGCAGAAGCAGGAGCTGGAGCTTTGCATGTGTGTAAGGGGGACTGTGGGGGAGCCGTGCATCAGGCTGGCTGGCAGCCTGTCTGCACTGAGCTGCCTCATGTTCCTGACTTTACAGGAAGAAGCCAAAGCGGCCAAGGAGGAGGGTGTTCCGGATGAGGAGGGTTGGGTGAAGGTAACACGGAAGGGCCGGAAGCCTGGCCTGCCCCGGACAGAGGCTGCTAACCTGCGGGTGCTGGAGAGGGAGAAGCAGAAAAGAGCCCGCAAAGAGCTGCTCAACTTCTATGCCTGGCAGCATCGTGAGACCAAGAGAGAGCGTGAGTGTCTGAGTCTCATCCTATCCCTGCCCATGTCTCTTGTCTCTCACACTGTGGCCCAAAGGGTGTCCCTTTTCCTTCAGCGGAGTCTATGTCTGTGCAGCTGCAGGTGACCAGTTGGCTGGCTGGTTGTGCCAATGGCCTTGCCATCTCTTGGGGACCCCTTGCCACTTGTATTAGCAAGGGCTGCTGGAATATTTTGCAGGAGAGTGTGCAGGTCATGGCTTTCCAATAGATGTTTCTTCAGTCAGCATAAAAGCAGTGACTTAGAGGTAAAACTAGCCTGTTTCCTCCCCAGGGGGGAGCTGCAGCACTGCTGGAGATGAACGGCCAGAGCTCCAGCTTGGCCCTCAGCCCAAGCGCAAAAGGATGGCCTCTGGGAAGCATGTGCTTGCAGATGTTGACTGAGCCCCTCCTGGTGTGTGGAACTGAAACTCCCCAGAAGAGGGAGATATGCTGCTCCTATGTGACTTGTCCTCTTTCTGCCTCTTTCAGACATTGCCCAGTTGAGGAAGAAATTTGAGGAGGACAAGCAGAGAATTGCCCTGATGCGAGCCCAGCGCAAGTTTCGGCCATACTGAGCTGGGCTGAGCTATTTCCTTGGATGCCTGTGCTGGAGAGGGCAAGAGAGATGCTCATGGACTCCGTGTACCAAAGGATTTCAAGGAATCAAGCCAGCTTCAGGTTGTCCCTGCCTGAAACGGGAGATCTGCAGCAACCACTGCTGGAGGGGGAATTTTCTTCATTCGCACTGGTATCCTGCTCTCCCAGCCATCTTCAGCCCTGTGGCACCACTTCCCAGGGAGCTCAGGTCAAGGGGCTGAGGCACTTCCTGTGACAAGCTCTATGTCCCTGCCACCCAAGGCCCTCCTAAAGCTTGGTGAGAGCTGGGATTGACCTAGCACAGCCTCTGCAGGGGCAGGGAATGGCTGAAGAACTGTAACTAAACTGCTACTATGTTCTCAAAACGGGAATGCCTTTCTCTTCCTTGGTTTGCTCGGAGGGTGGGGGGGGGGAAACAGCTTCTTGTGTGCTGGGGTGGTGATTAAAGTCATGGCTTGTGTGCCAGTGCTCCTTTGCATGTGTTATCTAGGGGTGAGTAAGAAGAGAGAAGTGACCTTGGGAAAAGCCCAACTGGGAAGTTCCCAGACCTGTTGTCACAGGCAATGATCAGTGGTGTGGTACAGAGCCCTACCGCTTCCCTCAGTGTTTTCTTCTCAGCCAGGTGGGGAGGTGCCCAGTCTTCTAGCTGTGTGTGGACCTCTACAGCCATGCCTAGCCTGGGCTGTGGGAACTTTCCATCACTGTCACTAGAACAATGTTTTTGTACTGTCCATGTAATATTTGTGCTGCTTTGGACTTAATGATTGTTCACCCCGATGCACTCTGATCAGAAAGGGGCTGTAACCCAGCCATGCCCAGGCTTTTACATTTATTTTACTGCCTGCAGCCTCGATAGGGGTGTCACTGTGAACGTAAGGTGGAAATGCTGGTAAATTCCAGAGCTGGGTTAAAACTGATTTACCCTCCCCTAGAAAACCCACTGCAAATGTGGCTTCCGTTGCATGGGGAGAGCACCAGGCCTGCTTGCTTCAGGTGGCTTTTTGTATCAATTTAACTAAGAGTCAGATGGATCCTTAATACACTGTTACCTAAAGCAGACTGCATGTAGAATTCACTGCCTCTGAAGATTGGCATTTGAGCTGCTCATATGAGCATCCCAAAAGAAAGGAGGTTCACTCTCCTGTACAGTCAAGAAGACAAGAGTTAACAGCAGATCAGTCTTTATTTAGATGGACAGCAATAATCTGCCAACTTTTCCATTATTAATAGTTCTCCTAGCTGCTTCATCTAGGGGATTAGTGACTCATTCCCTAAGAGTTCATTAAAATGGCCTTCTGTGCCCAGGTGAGCTCTTATTTAAGCTGATTTAAAAAGCAGCAACTCTCACAGTAGAACAGAGACAGAGGCCCTCTGAGCTCAGGCACCTGTGGAAGCAAGCAGAGGAGGACAACACTTCCCAGGATTAGACCTACTGAAAAAACCAGGGAGAGGCTGGTCACCCCACCCTCAGGGAGGAGGTGTGATGAGTCACCCATCTCTTGCAACATCACAGCTGGTGCTGCTGTTCCCACAGAGGATGCCCCTGCCTGTATTCGTGCTCCATTCCAGGGTGCAAGTTAGGAGCAAGCAAGGGGAAGGCTGCTCTGGGCAGCCATCACTGTAGTTGCAGAGCTGGAAGCGGAGGAAGGCTTCCTCTTCCCTTTGACAACCGAGATGATATTTTGCACAGCTCTCCTCCAGGGAACCACCGGCAGACCTGCTTCCACCCTGCACTGAGCTAACCTCAGGGAAGGGTATCATGAAACTGATGTTGGATGTGAAGTAGGAATGGTGACAATTCCTCCAGAGCCTGCTGCTTAGCTCCCTGTTCTCCTGGACTGCTGCAGCAGTGATCCTTCTTCCTAGAGCCTGGCTCTGGTGTTCTGTGCTGTCAGGAAGTTGCTGATGATCCCAGACACCACCTCGGGCTCATTCAGGTGCACAAAATGACTCCCAGGCACCTCTACTAGCTGGATGTGCTGGAGGGAGAGGACACAAGAAAACATAGACCAGGGAAGTGGTCCCTCAGGCAAGCTGTGCTTGCTGTGTGGCACTTGGGGGAGGCAGGACAGGCATGGGAGGACGAGGGAAGAGCTGGGTCCAGAGGGCAGTATTGACTTGGGACTTTGGCAGCAGGGGCAAAGTTGACTTCCCTGCCCACCCCCCCGCCCCGGTGTGCAGGCTGTGCTGTTGAGGACAAATCACCTTGTGGGAAGGTGTCCACCAAGGTGAGCTGCTCCCTAGCTGCTGCTCCCAGCTTGGTGACACATCAAATAGAGATACAAGGATGGAGTTTGCTCTCACCTCTTTGAGGGTAGACTCGAATGCCTCCCGCAGGGCTTTCACAAAGTGATTTCTGCTGTCTAGCTTGTGTGGTACCAAGAGTCCATCTTGTGCTCTGAAATGCAACAGTGAGGCTCAGTACAGCATGTAGTATGCCTCCGTTTGTCTGCATTTTTCCCATCTCCTTGGAAGGCAAGATGTGCAGGGCTCTGGCTACCTTGGCCAGTGTGGCACTCTAGGAAATGAGAGAGTGCTAGAAGTTGAGAAATGCTGTCCTAGGCAGAAGCAGTGTCTCCAAGATGGTGGGGCAATGGCCCCAACTGCTCTTTCCAAACTGCTTGTGAACAGCAGGATTGCAGGGTTACAGTCATACATGGTAGTCAGAGGAGCACTGCACAGCTTGACTAAGCAGATAGTGTCTATCATCAAACTATCTTTTTTAAACCTTGGTGACCGCCTAGTAGTATCAGAGTGGAGACTGGTTAAATATTATTCTCTCCCTGCCCCCCACCCCCCCCCAGGCTGACTCCTTAACTGGTCTGAGTGCATTGTTCCCTGCCCCCACCCTGTCTTCTGCTCTTAACTTTTTCCTTCCAGGCAGCTTCTACATCTCCCCGCTGTGCCTTTCTCCACTCTGTGCTGCAGTTTTAAAGGGAGGTACCAAGGCAGTCTTCCTGGAGAAGCCAGCATTAGACCTCCTGCAGAGCTAAGATCATGCTGTCTCCTACCATGCTGCACATGATGGGACAAGGTGACATCCCGGGTTCAAAGGCATGTACTCTGTAAGGCTTAGAGGACTTGTCCTCACCCTGATGTTGCATTTCTGGACAAGCAGGAAAATCCTTCAGCTCTTATGATTTCAACAGACCAGGGAAGCCAAAACTGCACCTCATTTCTCAACTTCTAGCACTCTCTCATGTCCTAGAGCACCACCCTGGCCAAGGTAGCCAGAGCCCTGCACATCT